AAATACTTTATTTAAAAACACGCATACTGGCAGTTTGTGCACACGATAATGATATATTATGATATTTGACACACATAGTATTCTTTGATTACATATTGCAATATACAATCTATTAATCAAAACTCAAGAAAAGACCTTGGATATGAATATATATACGATTAATAATGATTGCGTCACTAGAGTACTTTCAGTAAAAGCGTGAAACACTTATTACTCAACTGTACAAAATAGAGTGGATTTCGTATGAGTGGGAAACGGACGGTACTGTACTGTGACCGTAATCGTTCTGTAACCAAATTCTAGTGTCTCATTGGTTCACCAAAATTGTGCAGGCCAGGTTCGGTAACTGTGAGGTTACCGTGCGGTAACGGTGTCCCACTCATACGAAATCCGCTCTAGAGCTGCCTATAGACCATAATAATTAGCATGGGAAAAGTACAAAATAGTATTAATAAGTTTTTACGCTTTTACTAAAAGCATTTAATTGAATATAATATCGTATCAGTAGTGCATTTAAGTTAATATATATTTCATTCTATCTAATGCTGAATACACGTTTTTGTTTAGTTTTTCCTCTTTCGAGCTGATCACTGCTTCATTTGCCTTATRATCARCTAATTTACCCGCTGTTTCAAATGRTTTATTTCTAAAATAAAGKGAGCCACTAAWAACACATRCTCAGCTGAAAAYGCTGCAAAATTCTTGCAAGMAAAGCTTTCCGTTTTATTTGAACTGTCAGCACAGATTTCCACAGCCATTTTTGACTATGTACACCATTGTGATCATAGTTTCGGACCCTACTGGTTTTCAATGAATACTGTTGATATAACAAATTGTATGAATTGATCGTTTTCAATCACTTCCATGAAATTCACTAGATAAAAGACCGGCGGCCATGTTGGATAAATTAACAAGAATACTACTGAGAAATCCTTTTTTGAAGCTCATCCAAGATGGCCACTGTGACGTATATTGAAAACAAAGAATTTCAATGATAAATACAACAAAATAAACAGCTGTGAAATTTGACAGATCTGACATGAATATAATGATCAGCGGTAGCTTATAAAAATGTATAACATACATAACACAGGTGAGATTAAAAGCAATATAATATAAAAATATTTTCTAT